AAAAGATAAGCAGCTCAGATATCTGGATTATATTTTTGATAATCCTACAAGTTTTGGAATACATTTAACTGATGTTATGTAAACCACCGCTCTAATCTGAACAAATGCACACAAAGAAAAAAGATATTATGATCTCTTCGAATACAGTTTTCGTAATTTTCAAAGAGGAAGAAAAAGTTAAGAATTTCAGTCTTGGAAATAACCACTCTTAAATTATGCTACAATCATAATTATTATCACCAGCCTATAAACAGGATGAACAAATGATGAAGAAACACTAACAACTGACTTACCATGGTAAAAACAGTGATAGTTCCACATCTCTCTGTCTTAACTTCATGTCGCTAGAGTAGATATAAAAACCATGTTTATCTCCTTTATCATGAAGTTTCCAATAAATAAGTTAAATTCTTTAAGGTAAAAGTCACAATTAAAATAAATATAGAACATCGGTAACTATTAAGTAGATATTATTTTTGTATAACTCCTTTAGCATTTAATTCAGGACGTATCTTGTGAATCCACAAAATTTCTTTTGTGTAGAAAAACGTTTACAGAATTAGTTTTTAAAAATTAAAAAAGAAGGGTTAGTATCGGATGACATCTATGAAATTAGACCAGTTGGTTCTCATTATGGAATATTTTTATGGGTTACCTAAAATAATAAATAAATTAAATTTTTCCATCAGACCAGTTGTGTGAAGTACAGGTACCTTCATTTACAAGCTAGCAGGTTTTTTGAATCTTGTGTAACCAATGAATTTATGATAAAAAACAGTTTTGACTTTACCAAAGATATATCAAAACTGGCTTTTGACGAAACTGTTTATACTGCCAGTCTCGACATCGAGTCCTTATATACAAACTTACCATTAAATTAAGTAACTGAGTTAAGTAGTAATTTAATTTTTCAAAATTCGGATGTTATTATGGTATAACAAAACCTGTATTTATAAAACTATTAGAAGAGACACCAAAGAGTCAATTTTTTTTTTTAATGGTTGTCATTATGAAAAATTTGATGGGATGTCTATTGGGTTCAGGTGTTGCACCATGTTTGGCTAATTTAAGTTATTATGAAGAACAGTGTCCGGTAAAGTTTAAACCTATTGAAGATATGTTGATGATAGTTTTAAGAATAAATCCGATATTCAAGAATTTCAAGATTATCTTAACAATCATTATACAAATATTATATTTACATTTGAAGAACAAACAGATAACAGTTGACCTTTTTTTTAGACACTAAGATTGTTAATTTAGGTAGAAGTATTGACACTAAGTGCTATCATAAGCCATCTTTCACAGGACAATATTTTCATTTTGATAGCTTTTTTACTCTTTGAATTTAAAAAGAACCTAATTTATAATTTAATTCATCGGGCTTATAACATAGTTAGTTTTTTTTCCTCTTTCCATGAAGAATTATAAAACATAAAAGTTGTTTTACCAAAAATTAGTTTTCCTGTACAATTAACTGATAGTGTTATTAAGA